CCCTCCCCGGGCGACGCACGGTGGGTGGTCGGTCTGGTCGAAAGTGAGGGCAACCTCCGACCACCGCGCCCGGCGCGTCGCCTCATGAGTAGGGGCCGCGGCCAGAAGCTCTCGCTTCATGGCCTTGAGGCTCCGGCGAGAGACGTGAGCACACGCTCCCCCATCGACAGTGGCAATGGTGGCCCCAGGTTCTTGGAAACCTAGGTCATCATCACCGTCATCGATGTCAACAGCGGGGGCCTTTTGTTTGGCCTCACTTCGCCGTTTACCGGAGGGAGTTGCCGGCGACTTGCCCTCACGGCGTTCCTTCCTCCTGTCCTCCTCCCACTTCCTCGTTCGCTCAGCCAAGTTTTTGACCGCGCGACAGTCCGCGAGATCGTGGAGGGAGGTGTTGTGGACGGAGCACCACTTGCCGGCTGGGCGCTCCCTGGTGGGAGTACCAGCCTCTTTCTTTTTGTCGCTCGCAGGCCTCCCCTTTCGGGTGGCCCGCGGAGCGCCCTCGACGGCGAGGACATGACCCTCGTCGTCGGAATAGACCGACCTCTTCTTCCTCCTCCTGTCACGCCGCCCTGTCTGAGCGGCGGATCCGGGGGCGGCCGAAGCTGCCACTCCGGAACCGGAGGGGTTCCAGGTCCATGCTTCCTCCTTACGAGCCACTCGGTCTGCGAGCTGAAAAAGCTCCGCGGTAGTCTGGGGCTCTTTGGACGCGATCTTTTCGAGCATGCGGTTGTGCCGCACACCCCCCCTGAACGCGTAGATCACCGCGTGTGCAGGGATGCATGGTATGGTATTGCGGACTTGGCAAAACCGCTGAATGTACGAGCGAAGTGACTCATCATCCCCTCGCTGTACCGCGTGCAAGTCCGCTTCTTCGCCTGGGCGCGGATAAGTGCCTTGAAAGTTCATAGTGAACTGTTGGCATAAATCCTCCCAAGAGTGGACCGACGCAGGTGGCAGGTTCATTAGCCAACCCCGCGCCTGTCCCTTCAGGGCCATGGGAAAGAAATTCGCCATGACTCTGTCGTCACCCCCAGCGGCCTCAATCCCGGTCGTATAGACCTGGAGAAACTCAGTGGGGTTGACACTCCCATCATACTTCTCGGTGATGGTGGGCCGGAACCTTGGGGGCCAACGGACATTCCGAAGACTCGCCACAAAGGCTCTACAGCCGACACCACCAGCCGGGGGCACGGAGGGCTGGTCCTCACGTCCATGTCGAGGTGACACTCTGGACGAAGAGGCGCCCTCCGTTGCGCGGGGAGTACGCCGGCTATTACGCCGGCGCTCGATGTCGAGGCGGGCATCCGGCTCTCCATGCTGATCCTCCCGAGTCGGAGGTGCTGACGAGGGAGTGACAGCCGAATGGCGTGCAACAGCCGCCGCTCGCCGCGCCCTCCGTCTTGACGACACGGAGCCGGTAGTGGCGGCGCCGGAGGTCTTGGTGGTGGCGGACCGTCCACCAGCACCCAGGCGCTGCTGTGCCGTCATGACCAAGTTGGCCACGTCGTCCAGCCATCGCTGGGCTGGAGACTCCGGGTCAGGGACGACGGGCGGGTGACGTAGGAGCGCGCCAACAGCCTGAAGCGCGCCCTGAGGCGTGCTGCCGTCGCCGTAGACGAGGAGGCGACGCTCCCCATCTCGCCGTTCTCCTGCATCACCCACGACTGGCGATGCTGCGGATTTTTCGACCCTCTCGAGCGCCTCCCCCTGCTTAGGATTTTGGTGTGGAGGGGGTGGGGGAGTACGAGCTCGACGGCGTGGGTTTGGCTCCCCGTCGTCGCCGCTCACACTCGGAGAGAGGTCGTGCACCTTTGCTTGCTCGGCCATTAGGCTGAACAAGAAAAACTTGGCGCACACGGAGGAGTACGAGAGCTCAGAAAACACACGCTGAGCCCCCTACCTGGCGCGCCAGATGACGGAGCTCGTGGCTCCTCACCGGGAGACCGCACAGGCCCCCCTTTGCCGGTTCGGCCGGGGGCTTAGGGTGAAATCTCAAGCTCTCTCGGTATGTGGAAAGATCGCCAGCTAGGAAGAAACGCGAGACACGGGCGATGTATACAGGTTCGGGCCGCTGGGAAGCGTAATACCCTACTCCTGTGTTTTGGTGGATTTGTGTATGAACAAGTAACAAAGTGTCAACCAGCCCCCAATCGCTCTGGGATCGGATCTGGCCAAGGCCTTGTGTCCAAAAGTCCTCTTTTTATCTAAGTGGGCAAGGTCCTCCTTTTATATCTCAAGGGGATACCACATGCCCCTCTCCCTCTCCAAACTGGACTGTTCTTCTCTTCATAAATGGACGGAGATCGGTACGGTTGCTCTCCGGGTGCCCTTCTGACGGGACGGCCCATATCTACCCCCACTTCCGCCGGAAACAGGTGCGACGTGGGATTATGGCTGTCTGTTGATGACGCGACCAGTGTCAGACCGGTCACAAATCAGTCATCCTTGTCCACCACGTGTCAGCTTAGCAACGTGCATGTTTGCCCTTCTTCATGTAGCATCTTGCCTGTAATGGTTGGGATGAAGCCTGGTATAAATCTAACCAGGGCTAACGTGCCATCTCTAAGAGATTACACGCTAGCTCCGGCTTGAGACGAGTGCCTAGAGGCTTTCGTCTTGACGGGATGGGGCAAGGCGTGCGTCAGACCGCCAGTCGCCACCTAACCCGTGATCTGACCGGTCTGTGACTGGTCACAGACCGGATAAAGGAACGCGCTGCACTACGCTGCATGCAGCGTGACACGTTCGACCAGACCGCAATAAATGTGGTTAGGTGAGGCTTACCGTGTTCACCCAACCCATTCATGTGGCGCTAACTCCACAAGGGGTCGGGGCGCCTCGGCCCTCGGGGCCGGGGCAGGAGTCACCCGACCCCCCCTCGGGGAAATCAGGAGGAGGGCGGACACCTCACCCTCGGGCCCGACGTCCCCGAAGGTGCCAGGCCACGTGGGCGATTGTGTCTGCCTCAAGCCTCTGGTCACGATACTCCCGGTCCCATATCACCGACAGAGACCAATATGGATACAATCCGAGTAGTCCTTGTCGTTTTCATGTAGAACTCTATTCATCCTTCCTTATGCGGAACTCCTCCTATATCCTAAGGTTGTTTCCGTATAAGATATGATATGTGGTGGGTCCTGCCGAGATTTAGTCGACTACTATTAAGTATGTGGTATCCATAACCCTGACAACGACGATACAGTTTCAATTTTGCAAAAAAAATTCAATGGTATCTAGCTGATATCGCGAATTGTAGTAATATTTGTTCAAATTAATAATTTGCAATGGCACGATCCAATTCCAACACCACGGAGTAAGGGTGGGTATTCGGTCTGACCGAAAATTTCGGTCTCGGTCTTTCGGTCTTTGAAAAGTGAAGACCAAATTTCAACGCAAAAATATCAGGACCAACAAATTCGGTCTCAGTCTTTTTGTCTTGGTCTCGGTCCTGACCGAAATTCAATATCATTTTCATATATGCAAAGAAATAATGGAAATTTTCAACACAAAAATAAAAAAATCATAAGCGCTTATGAGTAAAGACTCTTGTTAGATTGCATGCCTAGAAGAAGTAGGAACGTGAAAATTAGAGTTTAATCCTATTGAACATAGTGGATTGTAGGTTGTATTTAGACATTTTTTTTGTTAATTCGGTCTATTCATTTAACCGAGGAGACTAACAATTGACTGAACAAAATTTGGTATTTCCCTGCCTAGGACCAAATTGATGACCGCATTTATCGATCTCGGTCTTTTTCTACCCACCCCTATAACGGAGGAAGTATCCAGTAGTATGAGGCCATCTACAACGGGTGCCCCTAGGTCGTGCCCCTAGCACCATCCGTCAATCTTTCCATCCGCGTCATCCCCTCGTGAGTCCGTGCGCGCCCTGGCTAGGGGACGCGCCTCTCGCTACTTTTCGGCCAGGGGACAAAGGCGAGCGACGCATTGCAGCGACGGGCTCCTGTGGCCACCATGTCTCCAGCGACAGATTCCCCTTCCACCCCTCTCCTCTCTCTCTCTTTCTCTCTCTCGCCCGTTCCCCTCTCTCGGGCCCTTCGCCGCCACAGCAACCACCCGGCAGGAGTAGCGGCGAGGAGCGGGAGGAGGCTGCAGCAGGAGCGGTGGCGAGGAACGGGAGTAGGCGGCGGAGGTCGCGCTCGGTGCCGTCGACGGGCTGAGGAGCGAGGGAGGAGGCGGAGGTCGAGCTCGGCGCCGTCGACGGGCTTGAGGCGCCCGTGCTCACGGCCAAGCAGCACGAGGACGACGTCGTGGTTGTGGTCGTCATGCTTGGGGACGACAGCGACGAGATCCGGCCACTGCGCGCCTTGCTCGGCCTCCTCCGCCGGCGCCTTGCCCGTCACCGCCGGCGCCATGCCCGCCATCGTATCCTCCCCGATCTAGCCGCGGGGGGCCCAGATCCGCCCACTACGGCGCCGGATCTGGCGCCCCTAACCGATGACGGGAAAGAGGGAGAGAGGGATGGCGGTGGATGCCGGCGATGGGAGAGGCGGCCCTCCTCGTCGTCCTCGCAGCCGCCGGCAACGAGAGAGGCGAGCGGCGGCAGCGGCGAGAGGGAGAGACCCGTGCGGCGGTGAAAAAAAGAAAAGAAGGGTCTGGAGAGAGAGATTAGGGGTAGGGTAGTAAAAATATATATGGGGTTTTGTGGCTGCATACCCACTATGGGTTGGAGTGTCTCTATTGAGTTGCTTCAGATTTTGAGTAGCCCATCCACAGTTATCCTCCATTGTAAGCTGAGTTTCCCCACGAGGAGTGGCTCATATTATAGATGGCCCGACGGATTCACGATTGTACCAGTGAAATGCCCTCCGTAGTCCGTACCATTAAAAAGTTTTTCGTGCCATCTGACATTCGCCGGAAGGCGCCCCCCTACACGTACAGACTACAGTGCATCCCACGCCCGAGTGCGAACCAGCCGTGCCGCTGTCACGTGTGCGCGCTTCCCCCGGCTCGTAAAACCCCACCCCCAAATTCCTCCGCCGTCGCCACCTTTCCCCCAAAAATAAACCCCACGGAAGCCACCACCGCCCACACGCCCCCGCTGCTGCTCCTCTCCTGCACCACCTGCGCTGCTTCCGCTCCACGCCGGCGCCGCGCCGCCCAAACCCTAGCCCAGCCCAGCCAACTCCCCCCCATGCCGAACGCCTCTCCCCTCCACCACCTCGCCTCCCTCCTCCTCCTTGCCCTCGCCCTCGCGCCGCGCCCCGCCGCGCCCGCGGCCACGGACCGCGCGGCGCTGCTGGCCTTCCGCGCGTCCCTCCCGCCGCCCTCCCGCGCGGCGCTCGCGTCGTGGCGCGGCCCGCTCTCGGAGTCCTGGCGCGGCGTTTCGCTCCACCCGCCGGCCGCCGCCGGCGCCCCCGCCCCGGCCCCGCCGCCCTCCGTCTCCGGGCTCGCGCTGCGGGGGCTCAACCTGTCGGGGCAGCTCCCGGCGGCGCCGCTCGCGCTGCTCCGCCGCGTCCGCGCGCTCGACCTCTCGGCCAACGCGCTCTCGGGCGAGCTGCCGTGCTCCCTGCCGCGCTCGCTCCTCGACCTCGACCTCTCCCGCAACGCGCTCTCCGGGGCCGTCCCGACCTGCTTCCCGGCCTCGCTCCCGGCTCTCCGCGCCCTCAACCTCTCCGCCAACGCGCTTCGCTTCCCGCTCTCCCCGCGCCTCTCCTTCCCGGCGAGCCTCGCCGCGCTCGACCTCTCGCGGAACGCGCTCACGGGCGCCGTCCCGCCGCGGGTCGTCGCCGACCCCGACGCTTCGGGCCTCCTCCTCCTCGACCTCTCCCACAATCGCTTCTCCGGCGAGATCCCCGTCGGGATCACCGCCATCCGGAGCCTTCAGGGATTGTTTCTTGCGGATAACCAGCTCTCCGGGGAGATTCCGACTGGGATTGGGAATTTAACCTACTTGCAGGCGCTTGATTTGTCGCGTAATAGGCTCTCTGGTGTAGTGCCTGCTGGCCTTGCCGGCTGCTTCCAGCTTCTGTACCTGCGGCTTGGGGGGAATCATCTTTCAGGAGCACTGCGGCCGGAGCTTGATGCCCTTGACAGTTTGAAGGTGTTAGATTTGTCGAACAACCGAATATCTGGTGAAATTCCGCTGCCGTTGGCCGGGTGCCGATCTCTGGAGGTGGTGAACTTGTCAGGAAACAAGATCACAGGGGAGCTCAGTGGAGCTGTGGCCAAATGGCAGAGCTTGAGGTTCTTATCACTGGCTGGTAACCAGCTCTCTGGTCAGCTACCGGATTGGATGTTCTCGTTCCCAACACTTCAGTGGATTGATTTGTCCGGCAATAGGTTTGTGGGTTTCATCCCGGATGGTGGGTTCAATGTCAGTGCCGTCCTTAATGGTGGAGGCAGTGGTCAGGGGAGTCCATCAGAGGCTGTGCTTCCACCTCAGCTGTTTGTGTCAGTGTCCACGGATATGGCAGGCCGGCAATTGGAGCTGGGCTATGATCTTCAAGCAGCTACCGGGATAGATCTGTCTAGGAATGAGCTCCGTGGGGAGATACCAGACGGGTTGGTTGCAATGAAGGGACTGGAGTATTTGAATCTCTCTTGTAATTATTTGGATGGGCAGATTCCTTCAGGTATTGGGGGGATGGGGAAGCTACGGACCCTTGACTTCTCACATAATGAGTTGTCAGGGGTGGTACCTCCTGAGATAGCTGCCATGACAGAGCTTGAGGTGCTTAATCTCTCCTACAATAGCCTATCTGGGCCTTTGCCGACAACTGATGGGTTGCAGAAGTTTCCAGGAGCATTGGCTGGAAACCCTGGGATATGCAGCGGGGAAGGATGCAGTGCGCATTCTAGGATGCCAGAAGGGAAAATGGCAGGAAGCAATCGCCATGGTTGGCTTGGTGGCTGGCATGGAGAGAACGGATGGGTATCCCTAGGTGCATTCTGTATCAGCACAATGACTAGCTTCTATGTATCATTGGCAACTTTGCTGTGCTCCCGCAAGGCAAGGAACTTTGTGTTTCGGCCTGGAAGGATGGAATATTAACATCAAAGGAAGAATTAGGAGATCATGTTGTGCTGTAAATAAGATAAGTTTCAGTGACTCAAGTGTGCAGCTAATCTTGAGTAAAATCAGTTGGCCTCCATTTTTAATATCACTGGCCACGGGAACTGTGTGATCTTGATCTAATAGCTAATGAGCCATGTCCAAGTGTTCTACTGTTGTTTTTCTAGGGATGTGTAGACCCGGTTCTGTTGTGTTTGCATCGTTCACAGAATGCACACATCTGGTTGCTGTAATACTGTCATGTTTCTGAGGATTGGACTGCTTCTGCCTCAGATAATTGGAGTATTGTCATCAAGGATGCAGTGATGCACACAGTTAGGTGGTCTAATAGCCACAAAAGGGAGCATGTAGTTGTGAACAACTTGAGATGTATATATCCAGTTATCCGCTTTTAATTTTACCTTGTTTGAGTGAAGTTCGAGTTATAAATTCTGAATTTCTGTCCAGTTCATAAGTTCTCATGCTTGTAATCTTGTTCAACAACGTTCAGTGTTATGGCAATTTGACTGCAGATCGTTCATCTGCGGAAATGTCTACTTGTACACTCTGCTCTGGTTTCTGCTATTATTGTGTATTTAGTGTGCTGCTCATTTCAGTTTTCAGCAGAGCATATGTGGTTGCCAGTGTGCTAAATACTATGGTGACTGATATCAACTGTGTAGTCTTTTGAGTATTTTTTGACAGGTAGAGACGATAAATTCACCATTTCTATCATGTGAAATCATTCAGCAGGGGGAACAGCTATTTCCTGTCACTCCCAGCTGTCAAGGTAATCCACACTTCCAGAGCAACCGGGGTGACAATGAAGCAAATTTTTCCTGTGTTCTTTTTGTCTGAACTAAATCTATTTGCAGTGTGCTGATTCTTATCATGCCTACTGCTGGGGCTTCAACTGGAAAAGGTTGAGAATCAGCATCGGTCGCCAATTAACCATTCAGAAATCAGAAGAGTAGCAAGTACCGTGTGGAATCTCCCTTTCATGCTGGAATCAGGTTCTTATTCTGTTCATCCACCGGTTTTATCACAACTTGCTAAAGTATCAGTAGCCCTGCAGATTCTTGCTACCAGTCACACCTCACTTACTGACGTAAACAGCAGAATATTTCCTGTGTATTGACCTCAATTCAGCAAATTGCACTGGATGCAACCGATGCAATGCAAAGGCTGTGAAATGCGCTTAGATACGGTGCAGCATTACATCAGAGTATCAACTTGTGATTGTGCTCCATGGACACTCAAACTTACCACTGAAATATCTATGTTTTTACTGGATCTTTTTTTTGGTAGTACACGCAATCTGTCATGAACAGTATATAGGGTTCCAATCCAATCTAGCGATGTGAATGTGATGAGCTACAGAGAAAGAAAGTACTAGGACTTTGCACGTGAGTTGCGTTTCAGGGGATTCAGATTGATATGCCACTACAATGGCGAGCCTAGAGCTCTGTATTTTTCCCCCCTTTTTCACGAGAATTAGGTGAACTTTTCTAAGTTATTTCGTCGGTTTACTACTACTCCAGTCTATTTTGTGTTGGCTTTCCTGTTCGGTGTTGATGACAGCTCACTGTACATGATCAAATCTGATTAACCTGCCTTTCACACCACACGTGAATTAGTTCAGGAATTTTCTAGACGGAAGCTACAGTTATGTTGCATGTTGCTGTTGCTAACTTGATTTTTTTTCTTCTATTGCTCAGGCATTAATACACGGATTATTGTAGCTTTGCCTCTTCATAAGCTTCCATTTGAAGTTAATTACGGTGATTAGCTTGAGGCTATAAACGAAGCCAACCCAGACGAATTAGCTCACACCTAAACCTCAAACCCTCCAAATATAATTAATATAGTTCGCGTCGCTTCTTCTTCCCGCGCGCTTCTCGCGATCGCGCGCCCATGGTGAGCATGCCGCCTTCGCTGCCGCCGCTGCCGCTGCCGCCGCAGCTGAGCCTCGCCGACCTCAAGGCCCTCTCCGTGCTCGGCCGCGGCGCCAGGGGCGTCGTCTTCCACGTCGTGCCCGCCGGCGGCGCCGCCGCGGCGGTGTCGGCGACGGCGGACGAGGATCCCATGGCGCTCAAGGCCATCTCCCGCGCCGCGGCGAGGCACAAGTGCGCGGAGGTCGCCGGCGGTCCGGGCGGCGACGGGCACCGGAGGATCTGGTTCGAGCGGGACGTGCTGCTCGCGCTCCGCCACCCGCTGCTCCCCTCCCTCCGCGGCGTCGTGGCCACGGACAGCGTCGTCGGGTTCGCCATCGACCGGTGCGCCGGCGGCGACCTGAACGCGCTGCGGCGCCGCCAGGCCGGGAGGGTGTTCTCCGTCGCCGCGATACGGTTCTACGCCGCGGAGCTGGTGCTCGCGCTCGAGCACCTCCACGGCCTCGGCGTCGTGTACCGCGACCTCAAGCCGGAGAACGTCCTCATCCAGGACTCCGGCCACATCATGCTCGTCGACTTCGACCTCTCCACCACGCTCCCGCCGCCGCCACCTCCTCCGCCGCCCGACACGGCTCCGCCGCCACAAACCGCGCGCTCCCGCGGCGGGCGGCGCGACAGCACGAAGGCCGCCGCGGCCGTCTTCGGGTGCTTCTCCTCGCGCCGCGCCGCGGCGTCACGGCCGTCGCCGTCGTCGTCCTCGTCGTCCCGGTCCCCGCCGTCCACGTCCAGGACGGCCTCGTCCTCCTCGTCGTCCACGCGCTGCTCGTCGGCGGCGGCGAAGTCGAACTCGTTCGTGGGGACGGAGGACTACGTGGCGCCGGAGATCGTGGCCGGGAGCGGGCACGACCACGCCGTCGACTGGTGGGGCCTCGGCGTGGTGCTCTACGAGATGCTGTACGGGCGCACGCCGTTCCGGGGGCGGAGCCGGCGGGAGACGTTCCACCGCGTCCTCGCCGCGCGGCCGGACATGCCCGGCGAGCCGACGCCGCTGCGCGACCTCATCGGACTCCTCCTGGAGAAGGACCCGGGCAGGCGGCTCGGCGCGCACGGCGTGAAGCGGCACGCCTTCTTCCGCGGCGTGGACTGGGACCGCGTCCTCCACGTGGCGCGGCCGCCGTTCATCCCGACGCCCGACGACGACGACGCGGGCGCCGCCGCCGAGGCGCTCGACGTGGAGAAGGTGCTGCACGAGGCGTTCGCTGCGTCGACCGCCGCCGCCGCCGGCGAGACGGCGGCCGTAGAGACGGCCGCGCCGGAGGCCGGCAGTGACAGAGGGAGAGATGAAGATTTCTCCGTATTTTTTTGACTTCTAACGTATGAATATTTTCTTCGAAACCGAAATGCAAGCATAGCATATGGATACCCTTTTCTTTCACTCCCTTTTGTAAATTAAATATAAGTTTTATACAAAAAACAATACAACTTGATGGTACTGTAAATAAATGCAGGAGAAATGTACTGAGAGTAAGATTTGTTTGGTTCAATTTTCGTAGGAATTGAGAGAATTTTCTCTTGTCTTATCATACTGGTTGGTGTAACCGGAGCATCATTCAGTTCAGTTTGGTTGGTTGTGTTCGAGCTGATCGTCTTGTAATCCAGCCACAACTACATTAATATTTGATGGCCACTGCTTTCCTATCAAATTTTCACCTGACCTCCTGGCTTCTCTGATCTATTGTCACGGGATGCAGATGACACCCTTCGCTCTCTTACTCTCCCTTGATTACCCTTCTTTGCAAGTGCCAAGTGTGATTAACAACTTCTGCTGCTGCTTTACGCTCTCTTTAATTGCCATAATTTCAGCAGCAGCAGCTAGTGCTTGAGCTGTCAGGTTCCTTATCTGTGCTAGTAGTATCAATATGCTCCCGGAAAGCTCGTCGCCGATGTAGACGTGAGCGGCGAAAAATAAAGGCAAAGGCGCAAAGCAAAATCTTGCCAATTTTTCCTTTTGGGAAAAGAGATGGCCAAGATCGCATCCGTTCTCGTGACCAAAAGGAGAGGAGAGCCATTCTGCTCTGCTGCTGATCGATCTGCTCACGAGATTTTGTGCTTCTGGGTCCTACGCAACCTATATACATCTAAGGTGACAGTTTGCTCGAACTTGTGATGCTTGCGCTCGTTGGTAACCTCGTGCATTCAACTCAATATGATATTTCTTTTGTCGACGGTGAATTGTCGCACGGACATGGTCATAGGTGGATCTAGGGGATATGGTCCCGGAATCACCCAAAACATTTCTAATCCAATGTATATATATACATATGTGTAAATAAACTTTTTTAAAACGCATATGATCAATTTATACTTCTAACTTTGTTATATTTAGGGTATTTAAAAAAATTATATAAGTTGAATCAGCCATATAAAAATCCTAAATACATCACCGAACATGACGATCGTGCCAAAATGAGGATAAGCATGTGCTGATTACTGAGGAGCAGGCTGACCTGTTGACATAGGAGTATTATTGTTCATTTCCATGCAGATAACTCGATTTGTTGATATTTCTTGTTCATTTTCATGAATATAATAACTCGAGTGCACGTGGATACACAAGACATGGCTTGGGGCCAGATTGGGCCAAACCGTCGCTTCTGGGCCCTCGCACGTTAATGTACCATGGGCACGTTAATGTACCGTCCAGTAAGTAGAATTTTTTTTTTTCGAGGAATTAGGCAATTTTGTTCTGTTTGTAAGAAAAATGGAACTGGCAGTCACCTCAGCTAGCAATGTTTCAACGTGCCAACATCTGACAATGTAATACGATTGTCATACGAACGAACAAAACGTCCTCTGAGAACGGATAATTAAAATATAAACGGACAATGTTACTTTCCAAACAAAAAAAAACTTCGTTTTAGTTTTTAAAATGTATGGTGCTGCTAACTTTTATACATGACATAACACGATTCGTCTTATTAAAACAAAACAAATGCACGTGTCATTTATTTTGTTGACTTGTTTTATCATTAGAAGTAATTTAAAGCTTTAAGCATGACTTACATTTTTTTGCAAAGTTACACTAAATTTTTAAATAAAACACATGATCAAAAGACATGTCTTAAGTCAATAACGTCGTCCATTTTAAAATGGAGAGAGTAGTAAGTTATATAATCCCTCCAAATAAAACGGTATCTAATCAGAGTTACATAAACACATCTCCTATTAGGAAGTTGTAAAACAGTGATACAGCAAGGTTGGGCAAGCCACAGTAGCCTGCCGAAATCTTCAATCTTCGAACTGCTCTGATACAGAGTTCTTAAATACACTATACATGATATTTTCCAGATGAACACAAGGTATTATTGATGGCAATCAACAAGCACCGAGCATATAATTGATATGTATCAGATTCAGATCAATATTACCAGCCACCAAACGGCAGATCCACTTAACTTCACCAAGAAGAACGGAAAACCTGGGCACCTGGCGATGAACAAGCATCGGTCTGAGTCTCTGAAAATCTACAAAACCACAAAAAAAAGGTTTCATTTGGTGAACAGAACGAGTCCTCAGCAATAGAGACATTGTGCACTCAGTTCATTCTTTAGGTTAGAGGCAACGCTGTTAGAATAAAGGGATCTAATTGACAGAATCAAGGACGGCTACCTTCATTTTTTGATTCCTGTAGGAAGCATCGAATAATGTCAACAATCACCTGAGCTTTCCTAGATTTGAAAGGTATTCATGAAGAAAATTCAAAGTTAAAAATCCTAATGCATTATGAGCATTTACCGATTTACTCCATTCTAGCAGTCATTAGCTAGAAAGTATCTTATTTTACATCTAACTTTGCTGGCTAATCTTCATATAATTACAGAAGACAAGGAGGGGGGGGGGGGGGGGAGGGGTTATATTGTAGAGACAAGAGATGGATTCACTACCTACAATAATATTCAATAGAAGTACAAATTAAAAGGTTTTTAAAGATTATTATTGCAAACAACTTTTTTTTTACCATAGCAATAGGCAAAAGAATATTGGGAATACAAGGGAAGACCCATTGGCATTAGAACGTATTCTGCATTTGATTCACTCCACATGAACTGGAACCTGTTCCAGTCATGACTCATGACGGCAGCAAGCAAGATCCAACAAGAATCCACCTCGCGTAGTTCCATTAATGGATACAAATTGCAATTGAGAACTAATCTCTCTAGAGCAAGGAACTTATTCCCACTATTAGAAGACAAAACAAAACCACACAATCACCTGCAAAATACTTTGGAAGCATAAAATAGGCCAAAGCCCACAAATTACATCAAGCATCAATGCATCATCTCATTATCCTTACACATTAGCAATGGCATGGTCAAAGTATGGCTGATGCTAAGTCTCAGACAATATATCCAGGGGAAATTTGTAGTGCAAAACCTACAGCTACCATGTAAACATGGAAATCATGCAACCATCAGAATAAAAGAACCTATCAGAAGCACATATCAAATCATGCAACCATCAGAATAAAAGATTTTTACAGTTCTATCACCATAGTCATGTCATTAAAAAGAGACATATCCTACATAAACATATATATCAAGCCTAAACAAGTAGTAAACATGTTTACACCCCATGAGCAGCCAAGAAGCAAGAAGCAATAGCCAGTACTACTGCCTCAAGCCCTTGAACACAAAAAGGCGAGAACTGGATGCAGAGGTTTATCGATCGATTCCCGCGTTGTCGTTGGCTGCAACAAGGACCAAAAGGAAGAAAAAAAAAGAACACCCTCTCAAAGAAATTCGCCGCTCCTGGATCAGCGCCACAAGGCAGGGAAGGGATCGATAAACCACTGCGCCCAGGCATCACCACCAACCCCCCACCCCCACCTGCGAACATGATGGATTAGCGCAAGAAACCGGAACAAAACAAGAACGGAACACAGAGCCACCTGCAAGATCGGGCACGAACGAACACTCGTGGGTGTGAATCTGTGTTTCTCGTGTGTGCAATGAGGAAGGGAGTGGAGGTGGGGAGGGCTGGATCTGGGGGATTTTATATGCCACATTGGGCGGAGATGTGACGGGAGGGGAGGGGAGCTGGGGAGGGGAGGGGACTCAGGGGAGGAGGAGAGGAGGACTAGGAATCTTTCTGGCGCTGCAAAGGGAGGCTTGTTGCCTTGTTCCCATGGGGACAACACGAGTAGGATTTGGAACAGGTGGGATTTTTTGTGGCAGTAAAAAGTGTAAATTACATGCGTTTACCAACTTCTATAGTGACGACGTAGTAGTAAATAACTACGATAAATCTGGATAGAAAAGTGACAACCTGAGACCAGATGAAATATTTCATAGTAGAACGAATCTAGACATATGTCTAGATTCGTTGTTATATGAAATATCCTATCTAGATACCTGTCCAGATTCGTTGCTATATTATAGGACATAGGGAGTATCAGTTTGTTATACTTTATCTTAAAAAAAACAATTTGGAAAATTTGGGTACAACAACTTTTCAAGGCTTTGTTCGACGACTTCTACTCACTCCATTTTCACGTACACGCTTAGTGAACAATTAAACAATGTTTTTTCTTCATTTTCTTTATAGATAAACTGTTTTAGAAACTCATATTAGTTCATTTTCCTTTAAAACAATTATATATAATATTTAATTAAACATATACTAATGAGACATTTCGTTTTGCATGTGGGGATAAGCACATCCCATCCTACTCATTCGAACACCAGTAGGCAATATTTTAAGACAGACGATCAAACGTCGAACAAAGAAACCAACAACTGCACTTAAAATAGGAGGGAGGGAGTATGACTTAACTGACATATATGAAAGAAAATTAATATATACTCCAGAAAGTAAACGTTTAGAAGACATTTGTTAGTAAGGATCCAACTACAAGTCTTATCCATACGATCAAATAGCAGCAATGGTCTGAATTCAGTGTATCAACTAATGGTCATTTGATCCCTTAACATGGAAATTGTTTTTTTAGGGAAAAACATGGAAATTGTGATGGCAATTGCATCTCCCGTTCTCAAAGGCCTTATCTTTTCGTTTATACTTATACTTATGAACCAAAATTTGAATTTTTCAATCTTAAATTTGGAGCTGATTTCGAGGTTTTTTTTTCATCGAAGTTTATTTTTCAGTTGCTTTTAGATCGCTAAGAACATGCATATAGTTTTATTTACAAATTACTTTTCGTTTGCAAATATGTTGTTTCGCTTATTCCGCGAATAAGGGAAACTATAGCTGTGCGAGAATTTTATGATACACATGAGTAATTCTTTTTACTATTCAAGAAATTTCCTCCTGTTTTGCATCTAGCCCTAGCAGTGGCTATCCCCCACTCGGAGAAATCATATGGAAAGCGGAGTAATTGGGCGGGACCCTTCAGCACTGCCGATGATTGTTGGCTTTGACGTCTTGTGGCACAAGAGAGGACCAGTGTAGCCGAGCAATGGGCAAAGGCCGAGTAAATAAAATCTAGAGCCGGTTTAGGGAGTTTCTCCAACGCATGTCCTAATTCATAAGAGTCTAGCTTTTTATTCAGATTCTAATATAATTGTATAATGTACAAAACAAACTATTAGGTGAGAATCCAGAAACCCGCTTTCCTAGGTTCTAATGCAGAAAACCAACTAGAAGTCAAGAAACCAGTAAACCCACTTTTCATGATTCTTAAAAAAGATTCAGTTTTTCTAGATTTTTATAAATTGACTACCAATCTAGTTTATTAAAAACAATCTAGTTTTTATTCTCAGAGCAATCAGTTATGTCCGTAGTGAGCACAGCAGAGCAGTAACAGGTGTTGCCAGTGGTGGTCCCTTGCCATCGGAAGAATTTACTATTTGTCACTCTACCAAAATGCTGTCCGTTGGTCCCGTATGAGAATGCAAGGCTCTGGCAGGAAAAAATTGGAAGTGTTTTGGCTCTCCCCGTGAACGGATCGAGAAAAAGAAACGGAGGCGTATAGTTCAAACGAAATGATACTTGTACTCTCGCAATGATGAGGAATTTTCTATTTCATCAACTTTGCGCTGATGCAATCAAGGGCTACTTTGGAAGGAAGGCACAAATTTGAGAGAAATTTCCAACAGAATTCAAGCGTAATACCTCCGTTTCAAAAATAATCAACCTAACCTAAGATATATCTTTTTGACGGGTGACCTTTTCTAGGTTGATTCTTTTTGGACGGAGGGAGTAGCTCTGATCATTTAAGCTACGACAGATAAGCCATAAAAATAAATAAACAAAACAATCAAAAATATTTTATGACATAGGAGAGCAAAAACATGGTATTTCCCTTAGCTTAGAAAAACACATCTGGCTAACTAGTTTGGTTAGGTAAATCATGGCCATACACCTACGCAAACTTGGTGATTGGTATATAGGCAATAGTTAGGCAAGCACCTGAAGAAACAAAACGGTAGAAATTCTGCTAGGGCCTGGGGTTTAGTTTCAACGCAACGATCATTGGAAACAAATGCTAAACTCAAAAGAAACAAACAAATTACTAGTTTATCGCTACTAACAGCAACCAATCGCCATCATCAAATTCTAATGACAAAACGTCTAAAACTAGTGGGGTCACAGTGACTCGGTGGATAGAGATGACCGCGATCAAATCGAAATCTCCATAGATATAGACGATCAAAGGACGGCACTGGCCAAGACGGCAAATTCTGCCAAAAGAACAAAAAGAAGCAAGATTCAAAGGCAGCAATGATGAGAGGCGCAAATGCATTATCAATGAGATCCACGATGAGCTCATAGCGCATCATCGCTGGTTAGGTCCAGGGACTAATTATATGCACATTATCTATTGCAGTATGGACATAATCACATGCATTTAACCCTCAATGAGTCGCTGTCAAAAAAAGAGTAAATTGAAAAATATGCCTGACATGCACTCTAAGTCTTCATCGCAAAATAAACGAGGGATTCGTGCCATTACAACTTCTTCGATTTTTACAAAATATCATTCTTATTCGTGTATTTGAAGACATTATATTACAATTTAATAGAAAATGAAAATATGCAACTACTTACCCATTCAATGCGTTTATAGAAAAAATTAGACCATATTACCATTCCTCCTCTTTCTCCCTCTCTCTCTAATCAATCATCTCTTCTACCGGTCCAATCCCCATCGAGCCCGTTGGTCTAACGACCTCCAATGGTGTGCCGGTGGCAAGGTTCCGAAGCATAACTGCCAGCACACCATGCAGCTCATCCATTAGAGCAGTCCCAACCCATAGTGTCCATAAGCAGTGTCCATGGTACCATGTTAATAAGATATTACAATAGAAATACACCATATAACCCATGATTTCTTAAAGTGGACCATTAATAAATACATTCATATTTATTCTCTACCAATCATATTTATTCTTCATCTATTATGAAGACACTATTATCTTCCAATGCAAAACTTGATAGTGTCTAGTGTATATGTTCTCGTGTTGAAGCTGTGTCTTGCATGAGACCCAGTTTCTTCCTCTCTTCACTCTCTCTATCTCTTAATTAATATATTGCCACATAAGCTAAAAGTCTTACATGGCAATGTAGTTAATGCCATAGACACCATTCTAGATAGAGGGTTGGGACTGCTCTTACGCCACAACACAGCTAGCGCGAGAAGCTCCGTGACCATGGCTTCATTTGGATCCCAGGTAAGAGAGGAGAGAGAGGGAGGAGGAAGAAGAGTGGGTAATTTGGTCCAATTTTTCTTATGAATACATTGAAGGAGTATATAGTGGCATATATATTTTTTTTATCAAAATGTAATGGCATGAATAGTAATTGTATTTTTTAAAATCAAAGAGATTGTAGTGGCATGGATTGAATTAACCCAATAAAGACACCTAGTACAATTATACTCCACCCATTTCAAAATAAATAAACCTGGATGTGACATTTTTTAAGTACTACGGATATGGACTATCACATCCCATACTAAGTTTATTTATTTTACGATGAAGGGAGTACAACGTAAGTTTCTTTGGAAGAATCATCGGTGTAAGACCTTTCAAGCAATAGTTACTGGCTCACAATTTGTTAGAAATAGGCTAAAAGATCCACATGTTTTGCTAAACCCAGATCCCAAATTTCTAGCAACAATCATTTGAAGCCTCTACATCGTCTATATATGAACACTAAACTACTGCCAGTTAGCAAAATGAGCAAAAGCCAGATAAACTCCAGATTAGAAAGGCGAAAGTATGAATATGCACACAAGAATTAAACTGCATCGTGGCAGATGGTACACAGCAGGTTTCCGTATTAACATCACAAAATATGCTCCCGTACGAAGGGTAATTTCTGCCGTGAGTTGTCATGCACGTTTACGCCTGAACTGACCAAACAGCTGCAGAAACCAGATGAATACTGCAACATCAGTTATATCCATATGGCATATCCATAATCTGAAGACAATAGAGTAGGACTCATGGCAGAATAAAGATAAAAAAAAAAATTAACCATGAAACATCAATTTGATCATGATCGCCCTCCTTCTCTCATAGGAAGAGAAACTTTACCTGGAATGGGTATTGCAGAATCCATCCAATGACTGGAATCTGGTATAGGAAGGCCTGGATAGGAGGTCCATAACCACTGCACAAGAAATGGAAGGGAAGCGAAATAAGTGCCAAAAAGGACTACTAAGAAATGAATATTGTACAAAAAGTTGGGGCTGGTAGACAGTGACCTGAAGAGAACAAAAGATCCATATAGCTCCATTATTATGCCAGCAACAGGCCATCGGACAAAGAGAAGAAACAGACCAAGGAAGAAAGGAACAGATCCCTGCCCAAATAAACTCATTACCTCTTCTGGACATGTATGTGGAGAGAAATCCATGTGATGCACAGAAACAATAAATAAGTTGGACCAATCAATTATGCCGTATTGCAGCAATACAAAAATTGCTATCCTGGAGAATGCGATCTACAATACTTTGCATGTCCAGTAGACCGGTACCAGATATCTATAGTTCAACTTTGTTCCATAGCAATCTTGCAACAGATTAAAGGCTAGTGATCATGCCTGTACTCGTGCAGAATACATGCACCTAAACAAGTTTGTTGTCTACAAAATTATGTAGGCAGAACTATTATGTCATTGCCATGCATATTAGGACAAGCATCAACTTGAAAACTTGACCAACTACAAAGTTATTATTATCTAATTTTAGTAAGAAAAGTAGAAAACAATAATTGTAGCATGGTGTCACATCTTATCCATTCATAGATAAGAAAGAAATGGATAGTAGCGTGTATCTATCAAAGTCTTTGACTCAAGTACCTTAATGTTTGCCTTCTTTGTGAAAAGCTGCCACATAGATTGCCAACCAAGCAACAAGCCGATTCCAGTCAAGAAGAAAATCTAAAAGAAGAAAGATAGCAAGTGTAACACCACAATAAAGTTTTATTTGATATTAACTGACACAACAGACGAAGGGGTTGTTCGTTGTAACATACATTACCCAACGCCAACAAGCCCCTATCAAAGAAAAGGATAACGCCAAAGAATGAGAATAGGATGCCAAAGCCCACCAGGCCTATGCCAATTTCTACATAGACAAATTAAAAAATTATTAGTACTCAACTAAGGTGTGAAAGAGGTAAAATAGGTGAGATCGGCAGGAGTGAATATGTGACAACTTTCTGAAACTGGAATTGAATTACTATTGTAGATACTATACTGAAATACTCTATTCTTAAAGCCCTTCTCCAAGTTCTTTCTCTATCTCTCTTTTCTTGTATGCCATGCTTTTCAATTAGCTTTAAAATTTCAATAAGAACAATTACAATGTGAAAATAATTGCTGTAGACAAAGTACCTACTATACTATTAATAAACTCCAAATCCCTGCAAACCATATGTCCATCTTCCTTTATAATCACACATAACACCACCTCTAAAACTGGTGGAAAGAAATTGTTGCCAGTATCCATGGTCGAATGGTGGCAAAAACCAACTTTAAAACCAGCATGGGATATTGAGTGACCTATTAATTCTATCCTCAGGATTAGTGCGCAAAATGTCCATTTTGTAAGATTAAGAAATGGACTTTACCCCAAAGTTTAAGGGGTGATCTAAAAGTTTAGAGATACATGTTGCAAAAAAATTTGTCCTAAGTATTAGACCAATGAAGTGTTTCGATTGCTTGCTGTATGTAAGTCTTATTCGAGAATAGAACTTCACTTTTGATCTCGCTAATCTCGTACGCCATCACACTAGCACCAAGCAATAAGTTTCAGTTCACCAGTCCACCAACTGAACCTGCATAGTTTCAGATACCCATATATTAAAAAAAGGTATACCAGCATATTATTTTTCTTGAAAATGTGTCCAAGTATTAAAATTAGCACCATGGCACTGTCAGTCTGTCACATTTCAACTTTAGCAGAACTATGAAAAATATTAGAAGATCAGTCTGCACTCTGCAAATCCCAAAGGGATGTCAGACAATGTAGAGAAAAAGAACTTAGTCATATGTCTAGATCATTCTTCAAACATTCCCAGTGTAAGTGTTAGTTGTACTTGGGCATTCTTCCATTTCTTATAAAAAAGTTTCAGAAGTCTAGGGGACTAGGACTAAGAGTCTAAGACTATCATTGCCAGTTTGCCATTGCTCTGGTTGGAATGGTACAAAACAGAGTATCATCTCAGTCTACACTCTGTTATCCATGAACGCAAGCAGGGGGCAGGGGGCAGGGGGCAGGGCAATAGGAGCAGGCGGCAACCTATCAGCTTGCAAGCGTAATCGCATTGGGGCCAGTAAGAGCCAGCAGGAAGCATGTTCAGTGAGTACAACCTGATAAAATCACATGAGTGGATGCTAGATTAACTCTAACATTTGCCAGTTCATTCAAAGCATTAGTAGAATAATGTCCAACAAATAGGGAAAAGTTGGATTCCCACAATAACATTTTAAGCTTCCGACTGCATGCGGACATTTTCAGAAAATCTAGCCATGGTTATAGAAGCCTCTATCTATGACGCAGATTTTCCTAGCATGCCAAACTTAAATCTGTTTCGTGTTAACTGGCTAATGTGCAAAAGTACAAACTAATTTCCATGCTAGTCTAACAAGACAGTTGCACATCTGGCAGACCAGCTTGCATTGCTCCAATTACCCAACACACCCCCAACACCAACATATTGCTCGGCAATAGGTATCGCAGGAACAAGTTACAAAATACAAAGGATTGGACATCAACAATCTCAAGGATCTCCTACTCTTCAACAGGAATACACTCTAACGGGTGAAATGCTACAAACATTTTACTTGATTCACCTCATCACCTATAAAGTCTACATTAACAGGGAAGTGAACGCTGAGCTAGATGATTTCAAGTGCTTTTAGCCACGGTTATCCCACGGTTCCCCATGCTCAAACACCTCACACCCGGAGGGAGAACCCCGAGGGCCGAGACAGAGCTGCGCGAGGGTTTTTGCCGACACGACCACCACCACCACGCGTAGGCACGGGGCAAGCGGCAGCGCCGCGGCGGCCGCGAAATCCCGGGCGCGGCGCTCGTTCAGGGAGCTAGCCGGAGGTGGAGGGGAACGGATCGAGCTGCGACTGCGAGGAGGGGCGGGGGCTAGGGCTTACCGACCGACAGAGCACGGATCCCCGCCAGCGGTAGGGGGGGAAGGAGATCACGCTGCGTGAAGGCGTCAGGCTGCCGCGGGGGGGAGAGAGGCGGCTACAACTCCGGCGGGCGCGCTCGCTCGCCGGCGGCGACCTTCTCCGGCGGTGGGGGGAGGAGGCAGAGATCGAGGGAACGGGAGGAGGGATGGGAGCGTTTAGTAGGAAAAGAAGGCGTTAATTAGTAATAAAAAAAGGCATCCGTGGGATGGCCCACTTGGCAGTGAGACGGCCAGATCACCAATTCCGTGGCTTGCTTTTTTTTTTTCTTATAGAGAACAATTTGATACCTTGCCTTAATGGTTAAGCTTAACAACAACAATTGAGATTACTCTCCATCTGGGTGAAATTTGATCCTATACTTTCCATTTAAATTGAAAGCCCGTTCAGATTGATGTTATTTTAAATCATATTATTTTTTAAAGTAAAATTGATAAACATATGGATACATTTAGTTTATTACCAAACATATATAATACCTAAAGAATTTTGGCAATAACATATTTAATCGATTCTATCGAAATTTGGCAATGTTGCCAACTTATCAAAATTTTAGTATTGTCAAATTTTAGAAAGGTTTATTTTGACAGCAATCTAAATTAGCCCTGAAAATTGACAAGTGACATTATATGATCTCACAACATATACCATTTAAACTATATTAAAGATTTTTTTCACACTTCTCCCGGGAGGTGAGGCAGCGCGAGCATAACAGTGAGACAAGGAAAGTGAATAAATCCTCAAATGTTTAGGAAGGTATAGGATCAAATCTCTAATCAGATGGCGTGGCCCGAGCGTTTGGGCCGTGGGCCGTAGCAGTAAGGCAGCCCGGCACGGGCGTATCCCCTCGTGTAATCACGAATCATCACCCCCACGCGTCTTCTCCCAGCGAAAGCCGAGCCTAAAAGTCCGCCGGAACGGCAACGGCGACGCTTTGGGCGTTGTGATTTCCATTGGAGGTGTCGTCGATAGGAGCGGATAAAAAACTCGAAACTTATGGCTTAGATTGGTTTCGTAAAGAGCTCGTCTCGGATCGGCTCAAACTTACAGTCTTAGTGAGTCGAATTGAGCTAGTCTTTTAGCTCGTTAGTATAAGATATCATCGTATCTTTATATAATTAGTGTTTTAACTAGTGCTTAGTATTTTAATTACATCAAAACTATTCATATTTAGTGAGTTCTTTGTTTACTATTTAGTGTTATTATTATGTTAATATATGATAAAATGGTAAATGAGATATAGCTCATTAACGAGCTTAACGAGCCAGCTTGCAAGTCGAGCCGAGTCAACCTTCTAGCTCGTTAACGAGTAAGCCGAACTGGCTCATTAAAACAACAAGCTCAAACGAGACGAGCTAACTCATTATCCTCCTCTAGTTGTCACGGTGCCTTAATTCTCCTCCACTATGGGACTCTCTAGATGAAAACCTTGTCCAAATTAATTGGGTGGGCGACGGTGATAGCATTTCTCGGTATCATGACCTCATTGGAGGCTATGTCTTTGCGCATCGCCCTCTAACAACTTTCTCTCATTAGCGTTGGCACCCTCAGATTATCATCATGGCAACAGGTTTGTAGGAGGGATGAGTGGATCTTTTTTCCCTCTCGCTCTTTTCCTCTGCAACCCTCTTTTATGGTGGCGTCCGGGAGTCCACGTTTTTCGATGATCAACTAATGGCCAAGGTTGACTTTGTATGAGGGCATTTGTGAGCAGCACCTCGTTGTCATACTAGCAATGGGTTATACAAGGGACAAGCGGATCTTTCTTCTCTCTTGTACTCTCCCTGTATAATTCAAAGCTGGGATGACAAACGGAAACACACGTCTCTGTTCGATTGTCTAGCGTTGCTGGTGTTGGGTGGTGTGGTTCCGTTGTGCGCCTAGCGACAATCGGTCTCACATAACGATAACTAACACAATGCTATGCTCCTTCAACTTGTGGTTAGCTGGTTGTGTTTGGCCTCACTGACCGAGTCTTTTTGGCTATTTTTCTTTTGTTTTCTCCTGATTATATCCTCTTGGCGATGTAGTTTTGTTTTTTTTTCTCCTACTATATCAATATGAACTTTGTTGTCTATTGCTATTCGTTTAAAAAGAAAGGGATACAAATGAAATAAATACCATAAAGTTGAAAATGAATTTAAAACATTCTTCTACATAAAAAGCCTTTTTAGCACACTTTGGAAGCTAGGGAATCATAAGCATTTCATCCAATAATTTCACCCCTTGAAAGAGGACGACTTCACCTCCACGAGTCTCTTCACTCCAAAACCGCTGCCGCGGAAGCTGGTTTATGTTTCTACGTGGTGACTATTACGCCGTCACTGCAAACGGGGGCATTACATATGCAGCCGAACGACCTGAGTGATCGGCCGATTGGCGATTGGGCCGTCCACGCGCACACGGATCCTGGCCAATGTTCCTTCCATGCGCCATATCATAGCCAATGCCCATTTAGGCCCTGTGAATCAAAGGATTTATGCCCTATGAAATTCCTACATAAATCGTTTGATTCAAAGGATTGAAACTTTTCAAATCCTATGAAATTTCTATGGAATGGCACATTGCATGTGGATTTTGGAGGAAATTTAGCAAGAGCTCCAATCTCTTGAAAAATTTCCTTTGATTCTATCTCTCTCATCCGATTCCTGCGTTTTTCCTGTGCTCCAATTAAATAACCATTCCTGTGTTTTTCCTGTGTTTTGCAATCCTCTGTTTTACACTTCAATTCCTGTCAGAATCCTGTGTTTTTTCCGTTCTTCCGTTTTTTCTACCCTACGATTCAAAGGGGCCCTTAGCCGTTTCGAGGAAGCCAATGGTCACTGGCTGCCCCCAACTTGTTCATCACCACTTAAGATCTCTTCCTTTTTAAGAATGTGCACGCGTTCTTTGACTAGTAGTATGACGCTTGGATTATATTTGATCTCTCACCTTTGAGAGATCGATGCGATATGCGACCTTGGGAAAGGACCTGCAAACCGGTCGATGCAATGCACGCCCGGCGATCTGAAAGCGAGGAACAGAAAAAGAAAGAAAGGCATATAGCACCACACTCCTCTCACTCTCGTCAATGATATGTGCATTATTCGAGTGTCGGGCTTCAAGCTAGCTTAGGGCGGCTGCTTTGAATTCTTTAGTTCAACTGACCTGACCTGCATCACTGCATGCAGGCTTAACTAGAATAGAATCTAGTACTACTGCTCACTAATGCTGCATCATTCCTTAAAAAAAAAACTAATGCTGCATTACGAATAGGAACGCCCAGCTTTCTGCAACTTGGAGCTAGAGAGAGCCAAATTACAGGTGCCTAACAGTGCATAATCATCTCTTAATTTCCTTACAGGCCGAACCATATCTCAGACTGAGAGTGACGTTTCCAGAATCATGCTCGATCTAGATTAAGAATACAGCAGCACGTTAATTATGTAATATTCCCTTCGTTTTATATTATAAATCGTCGCTTTAACTTTTCATATCAAAACCTTATTGAGTTTAACCAAATTTATAAAAAAAAGCATAGTAACATTTTCAACACAAAATAAACATATTATCAAAATATATTCAATATTATATTATATTTAATAAAACTAAGTTGGTATTATAGATATTACTATTTTTTTATCAAACCTAAAGAAATTTGACTAGCGATCGATTCAAAGCAACATAATAGATGGAATATTGTTAAATTTCTCCATAATATAAAATTACGGGTGAAAACGGATCGGATAATATCCGATCCGATCCGCTCCGAATCCGTCCGTAACGAGGATATGGTAGGAGTTTTTAGAAATCCGGCGGATATGGATGCGGATGCGGATATGGTATTTCTGAAATCCGATGGATGCGGATTATCTGACTTTTCTATCGGATTATCCGATAGAACGTTTGCCGGATAATACGAAATTATTAACACATGTAACCACTCTATCTATTACATATAATATAAGTTGGTCCATCCAATGGTCTAATTCATCAATTAACCTAGATTTCTTAATATGAGACTTTCACCGTCTCATATTATACTTACGTAGCTGTTTTTTATATTATGGACATAATGTATTCATGTTGTTTACTTGTTTAGCCTTAAGCATATAATTATTACGATAGGTCATTTATTAATTATTGTATTATTATTCATTGCATTGCTAACTCGATGTTGTATTGATTGCATATACACGTAACATCCGATAAATTTAATCCGTTTCCGAACCGATTCCGCACCGACTCCACTCCATTTCTGACATCCGAACCAATCCGCTCTGTATCCGTATCCGCACACTATCCGCAACCGCTTCGAATCCACTTAAAAAATATGGTTTAGGATATGGTATGACTACTATCAGTCCGAATCAGCTCTGTTTTCACCCCTATATAAAATGGAGGGAGTAGCAGAGAGAAAAGTGATGGTTGATCTAGGATTAGATCGTATCAGGAATGCAAGGCAGCAAGGGCCAGGAGTCCAGGACACGATGCTGCTGGAATGAATCTGGATGCTAATAGGGCAGAAGCTCGGATTAAATACCACGGGCTGTTGCTTCGCTCTGCAGCGGTCTCGCAGCGAGAGTGTCATCAAAGCGCTCACACAAGTTGGTGGCGGTGATGTCACTGGCACATGACGTCCGCGACGAGGGGCTTTATGCTTTCTTTTCTCCTTTGCCAAGTTGCTGCTGATTGGCGGAGATCATCGGTTGTTTCCAGTTAGTACACCGAACCATGCATGGGAGCGAGAACTGCGGAATTTGGCTGTGACACCGACGTTACGAAGTGATTGCTATGGAAAATGGTTGGATGCAAGCGGCAACGCGTTCGGACTGCGATCTTTCGTTGCTCCGTCCAAGGGAATATTGAGTTGGAGCGGCGGCTCACATCCATTCTACTTCCTCAGTCCCAAAATATATCTAAATAGATATATCATGGTACCATGTTATAACGATGTATCGCATCCAGTTCTATATACTTCTTCCGTCCCGCAATACTTGTCTTTCTAGCACTAAAAAATTATCCTAAAATAATTGTCGCTTTATAGTACTTGTCACATCAACCACTTTCAATTTAAATTTCTTCCCATTCTACCCCTAACCACCATCCTACATTCGATTATACATTATTTATTAAGGAATATTATAGTCTTTTTCTTCTAACCTTAATACATGCTAAACAACTTGGAACGA